ACAATATCCATCCGGACCTTTGCCACCTAGGAAATTTGTGTGACCGGACCTTCTCAAATAGTACTTGAGTACCCCTGGCCTAGGCTATAACCCCCATAAACATAGAAAGGTTCCACAATGAAAATATGTAGAAACATTAGTTTGATAAAGACAAAGAGCGTTATTTTCATCAGAATTATTAAGCATAGGCCTACTCACCAAACAGATGTCGTGGCGGTAATTCATCACCATGAAGTGTTCAATGTGGAAATTGTTAATCAATTTTGAAAATTCCAAAGAACAGGCAGAATAAACTAAATCGAACATCTGTATATCGAAAAGAAGACAGATTTTGTTTTGTAACCCTGAAAAAATTGTCTTTCAACTCGCCAAATTGAGCCCTGTTTCAAATGATCACTCTTTGAGAATAGCTGTTCCAGATGCGAGATGCGCATCCCTTTGCACTGGCAATATTTTGTTCTATTTTATTCTGTTATATTACATCGTATTTTTTTTACTGTAAAATAGGTGTGTCTTGACTGTGATAAGGGCTCGGGAAATAAGAGCGTCATGTCTACTAAATTAACAAAACAAGGCTATGCCATGGCACAGCCATAGGCTTCTATGCAAGCGCCAATGCTGAGGTTACTGCCTTTTTGAAGATTGTGTTCCACAATGTAATATAACCAGTTGATATTAAGGTTTAAATTAATTAATCTTAAATAGCCATTTTTTATTGAGTGAATATACTGTATATGGGGCAATTTAGCAATTGGGATATGTTATCTGTAATGGTTACAATAAATTAGTCATTGTTGCGCACTGATTGCATTTAGATAAATGTGCAAAATTGTTTTTTTTTAGGGCGGGCCATGGTAAAACATTTATTTTATTTTATAAAACAGTTTTTACCCATACTCAATTATCATGCGAGTACTCGAACAGTCAAAATAATTCTAATGCCCATCCCTACTCCTGTGTTCCCTTGTGTTCCCTGTCTCCCTCTGACTGGCATCTCTTGAAGAGACAGACCAGAGACACACAGCAGGAAATAACATGTAGCTCCAGGGTGTCCTTAGAAAGAAACGTCTATGGTACATACAGCCTCTGTCCTAGATTTTGCTGGCCTGTTTCCTTCTCATGTTGTGAGGATAGACCACAGTGCATGTCCACACTGCTACTACATTTGGTGGGCTCCAAATCTAACCTATAATACTGTTGAACAAATCTTCTCCGTCTGTTGATATATCTGTTGCCTGCAACCTCTTTGACTGTGTTTGTCATTATATAGTGTTCAATTAGTAGTTAGATGGCGCCTGAGGAAATGGCTGCCGTTTTACGGCCCTCTAACCAATTGTACTATTTTGTGTGTTTTTTCGCGTTATTTGTAATTTATTCTGTACATAATGTTTCTGCCACCATCTCTTATGACCAAAAAGAGCTTCTGGATATCAGGACAGCGATTACTCACCTCTTTTGGACGAAGATTTTTTCTTCAACGAGTCGGACGCGAAGGATATTCTACAGACACCCGACAAGGCCCAAATCCCCGTCATTCGCATGAGAAAGAGACGTAGATATCGTGGACGTAGGTCGGGGTGTCTTGTAAGGATCCGACGGCGAGCGAGTAAACTGCCTCTTCCATCAATCCTATTAGCCAACGTTCAAGCATTTGAAAATAAATTGGACGACCTAAGATCAAGATTATCCTACGAACAGGACATTAAAAACGGTAATATCTTATGTTTCACTGAGTCGTGGCTGAACTACGACATGGATAACATACAGCTGGTGGGATATACGCTACATCGGCAGGATAGAACGGCTGACTCCGGTAAGACAAGGGGTGGCAGTCTGTGTATATTTGTAAACAACAGCTGATGCATAAAATCTAATACTAAGGAAGTCTCTAGGTTTTGCTCGCCTGAGGTAGAGTATCTCATGATAAGCTGTAGACCACACTATTTACCAAGAGAGTTTTCATCTATATTTTTTGTAGCTGTCTATTTACCACCACAAACCGATGCTGGCTCTAAGATTGCACTCAATGAGCTGTATAAGGCCATAAGCAAACAGGAAAACTCTCATCCAGAGGCAGTGCTCCTAGTGGCCGGGGACTTTAATGCAGGGTAACTTAAATCCGTTCTACCTAATTTCTACCAGCATGCTAAATGTGCAACCAGAGGGGAAAAAAACTCTAGACCACCTTTACTCCACACACAGAGATGCGTACAAAGCTCTCCCTCACCCTCCATTTGGCAAATCTGAGCATAACTCTATCCTCCTGATTCCTGCTTATAAGCAAAAACTAAAGCAGGAAACGGTTAATAAGGAAGTGGTCAGACGATGCAGATGCTAAGCTACAGGACTGTTTTGCTAGCACAGACTGGAATATGTTCCGGGATTCTTCCGATAGCATTGAGGAGTACACCACATCAGTCACTAGCTTCATCAATAAGTGCATCGATGATGTCGTCCCCATGGTGACCGTACGTACATACCCCAACCAGAAGCCATGGATTACAGGCAACATCTGCACTGAGCTAAAGGGTAGAGCTGCCGCTTTCAAGGTGCGGGACTCTAACCTGGACACTTATAAGAAATCCCGCTATGCCCTCCGACGAACCATCAAACAGGCAAAGAGTCAATACAGGACTAAGATTGAATCGTACTACACCGGCTCCGATGCTCGTCGGATGTGGCAGGGCTTGCAAACTATTACAGACTACAAAGGGAAGCACAGCCACAAGCTGCCCAGTGACATAAGCTAAATCACTTCTATGCTCGCTTCGAGGCAAGCAACACTGAGCATGCATGAGACTATGTGATCAAGCTCTCCGTAGCCGATGTGAATAAGACTTTTAAGCAGGTCAACATTCACAAGGCCGCAGGGCCAGACGGGTTACCAGGACGTGTACTCCGAGCATGCGCTGACCAACTGGCAAGTGTCTTCACTGACATTTTCAACATGTCCCTGACTGAGTCTGTAATACCAACATGTTTCAAGCAGACCACCATAGTCCCTGTGCCCAAGAACACTAAGATAACCTGCCTAAATGACTACCGACCCGTAACATTCACGTCTGTAGCCATGAAGTGCTTTGAAAGGCTGGTCATGGCTCACATCAACACCATTATCCCAGAAACCCTAGACCCACTCCAATTTGCATACCGCCCCAACAGATCCACAGATGATGCAATCTCTATTGCACTCCACACTGCCCTTTCCCACCTGGACAAGAGGAACACCTACGTGAGAATGCTATTCATTGACTATAGCACAGCGTTCAACACCATAGTGCCCTCAAAGCTCATCACTAAGCTAAGGACCCTGGGACTAAACACCTCCCTCTGCAACTGGATCCTGGACTTCCTGACAGGCCTAAGGGTAGGTAACAACACATCTGCCACACTGATCCTCAACACGGGGGCCCCTCAGGGGTGCGTGCTCAGTCCCCTCCTGTACTCCCTGTTCACCCATGACTGCATGGCCAAGCACGACTCCAACACCATCATTAAGTTTGCCGACGACACAACAGTGGTAGGCCTGATCACCGACAACGATGAGACAGCCTATAGGGAGGAGGTCAGACACCTGGCCGTGTGGTGACAGGATAACAACCTCTCCCTCAACGTGATCAAGACAAAGGAGATGATTGTGGACTACAGGGAAAAAAAGAGGACTGAGCATGCCCTCATTCTTGTCAACGGGGCTGTAGTGGAACAGGTTGAGAGCTTCAAGTTCCTTAGTGTCCACATCACCAACAAACTATCATGGTCCAAACACACCAAGACAGTTGTGAAGAGGGCACGACAAAGCCTATTCCCCCTCAGGAGACTGAAAAGATTTGGCATGGGTCCTCAGATCCTCAAAAAGTTCTACAGCTGCACCATGGAGAGCATCCTGCCTGGTATGGCAACTGCTCGGCCTCCGACCGCAAGGTGCTACAGAGGGTAGTGCGTACGGCCCAGTACATCACTGGGGCCAAGCTTCCTGCCATCCAGGACCTCTATACCAGCCGGTGTCAGAGGAGGCCCTAAAAATTGTCAAAGACTCCAGCCACCCTAGTCATAGACTGTCTCTCTGCTACCGCACGGCAAGCGGTACCGGAGTGCCAAGTCTAGGTCCAAAAGGCTTCTTAACAGCTTCTACCCCCAAGCCATAAGACTCCTGAACATCTAATCATGGCTACCCGGACTATTTGCATTGAATAAAATGTGATTTGATTTGATTTAGTATGCAAACAATCCACATAGAGAACACCAAGAGCTTATTGAACGGGTTGTATTGCGTGACTTCACCACCCTGAAAAGACAGACTTCACCACCCTGAAAAGACAGACTTCACCACCCTGAAAAGACTGACTTCTGCCACAATGAAAAAACTGACATCTGCCATCCTGAAAAGACGGGACTTCTGCCACCCTGAAAAGACGGGACTTCTGCCACCCTGAAAAGATGGACTTCTGCCACCCAGTGGGTGTCTTGTCACATTACAGTACATTTCAGAGGTACACCTAATCTACATCAAACTAAACATCTAACCAAACCACTCTATTTTATGTGTTGTATTTATGTAAATGTAGGGAGTCCACTAAGATAATAAGTTTGACAGAGCATTTCTTTCTTTTTTTGGGCCAGAGCTTTCAACAGGAAATGTCATGTGTAAAGCATATCCCAGAATATCTTATTAGTGGAATGTAAATTCCATTACGCTCGATGCTCACAATTTGTCAACACACATGTAATTGTTGGAATATTTTTTATGCAAAATAGTCCTGTAATAATTCCTTTATGTTTTGTTATGAGGTCACATAGGCAACTGCACATGGAAGTCAAAAGTCAGAATTCTTTTATTTAGTAATATCCTGATAGTCTGATGGCTCATAATACAGATTGTGTTTGGGAACATTGCACAAATAGTAAACAAATACAATGGGTTATTTGTGGGGATTAGAGACACATGAGAATAGACAGAGAGCATTTGGGGGCAGTTGACAGTAGGTGGTTGGAGAGAGAATTTAGAAGCACTTCCTGTGAACGATTGAGGGTCCGGCCTCCTCGTACTCATCTTTGCTGATCCACATGGCCTGGAAGGTGGACAGGGAGGCCAGGATGGAGCCGCCAATCCAGACAGAGTACTTACGCTCAGGGGGGGCAATCATCTACAGGGAGCGACAGTGAGTGGTTAGGGCCGAGTCAACTGTTGTCTATACAAAGTCAAGTGTCTATCCTAACCAGCTTTGCTACACCTAAGGTCCTTTGAGACCACAAAGTACTTTATCCTCAAAGTACTTTGAGGTACTTCACTTTAGCATCATTTCTCGAAGTAATTGTGATGGTGGTGGTTAGGTCAATGTAATTATCACAGAGAATGAGATGCATATATTCTCCATACCTTGATCTTCATTGTGCTGGGGGCCAGGGCTGTGATTTCCTTCTGCATGCGGTCACCGATACCTGGGTACATGGTGGTACCACCGGACAAGACATTGTTGGCGTACAGGTCCTTACGGATGTCAATGTCACACTTCATGATGCCGTTGTATGTGGTCTCATGGATACCGGCAGACTCCATACCTATGGGGTTAACAAATAACAGTCTTTACACCCATATTCTGTTGAACTCCAAACCTATGAGAAAAACAGTTTTAGGCAAGAGAATGGATAATACAACATTGACATATAGGCAAGACAATAGAGAAAGGGAAGCATTGGATTCTGAGTATTGTCATGTGTAGTGAGGCCCCATTGGAAAAGAGAGGACAACCCCAACCTTATACTTAGTTCATAAGCATCATATAAAAGACGATACATAGAGTATATCCTTAATGATTCATAAATATGGTTACATAATATGGACTACTTTTCTTCCTGCTATCCTGCATAATATGTTATACATTACTTGTGCAACAACACATAACATTTAGCCTGGTCCCAGATCTGTTTGTGTTGTCTTTACAATGGCAGGAGTTGGTCCAGGTTATAGAACATTGTGTAGGTGCAATGATTTGGATACTGACCAATGAAGGAGGGCTGGAAGAGGGTTTCTGGGCAACGGAACCTCTCGTTACCAATGGTGATGACCTGACCGTCGGGCAACTCGTAGGACTTCTCCAGAGAGGAGGAGGAGGCAGCGGTGGCCATCTCATTCTCAAAGTCCAGAGCCACATAGCACAGCTTCTCCTTGATGTCACGCACAATCTCTCTCTCAGCTGTTGGGATGGATAAAATAGTATGTTACCTACCACTATAGACAGACAGACATGGTAACAACTGTTACATTTAGAGAAACCAAACCTACAGTATGTGTCAATATTAATGACTTTGAACAGGCTCCTCAGGTAACAGTACAGTAAATGGCTGCAGTTACTCTATCTTGCCAATAGGAGGCACTGTAAGATTATGAGCAATCAACAGTGACACGGTTCAGTTGAACTAAACAGGTGTCATTAACACTACATGTTAACTGGGTGAAAGGTTACATGATTATTCAATTGTAATGAAATAGAAGTAAAATACTTCAATAAAAATGTATAGAGTTCTACATTAGGCTAATTGTATCTACTATAAGGTTATTCATTGATAGTAAGTCGCTCTGGATAAGAGCCTCTGCTAAATGACTAAAATATAAATGTAAATGTAATAGTCTATCATTACCGGTGGTGACGAAAGAGTAGCCTCTCTCAGTGAGGATCTTCATCAGGTAGTCAGTCAGGTCTCTGCCAGCCAAGTCCAGTCTCATGATGGCATGGGGTAAGGCGTAACCCTCATATACGGGCACATTGTGGGTCACTCCATCGCCAGCGTCCAGCACAATACCTGCACAGGTCACACAGACACATTAGTACAGACACACCAACGAGCATCACGGTGGTCAATGCCAGGGTTATGGGTTTGATTCCCAACGGTGCTACACATACAAAAATGTATGCACTCGCTGTACTGTAAGTCACTTTTTACTGTAATCCATTTTTGGGTGGATCAGTGTTAGGAGGAGCATGCTCACCTGTGGTACGACCAGAGGCGTACAGGGACAGCACAGCCTGGATGGCCACGTACATAGCTGGCACGTTGAAGGTCTCAAACATGATCTGCAGGAATGGAGGAGTCACCATGAGTCAGTGTGAGAAACATCCCACTAGGCACAGACGTCAGTCAGTTCATTGTCTAGTTGTCAACTAACGTGAATTCAACGTGAAATCAACAAAACATTTCACCATGTCATTGGATTTAGCATAAAAGTTGGGTAAGAAAAATACGAAATCCCCTTCTTGCAAATCTAATCAGTTTTCCACGTTGATTCTACGTCATCATATTGATTTTTTTGGTTGAAATGACGTGGAAACTACGTTGATTCAACCAGTTTTTGCCCATTGGGATGTTTCTCATTAAATGCTCAATAAACTATATCATAAGACTGACGGCCAGGTGTTTGGGTTTAAGGTGTAGGGCCCACCTGGGTCATCTTCTCTCGGTTGGCCTTGGGGTTGAGTGGGGCCTCAGTGAGCAGGACGGGGTGCTCCTCAGGGGCCACACGCAGCTCATTGTAGAAGGTATGATGCCAGATCTTCTCCATGTCGTCCCAGTTAGTGATGATGCCGTGCTCAATGGGGTACTTGAGGGTCAGGATACCTCTCTTGCTCTGGGCCTCGTCTCCAACATAGGAGTCTTTCTGACCCATACCCACCATCACACCCTGGGGAAGAGACAGACAGACATGTGTTATTCACATGGACAGAAGGTACAGACATGAACATCAACAGCCACATATTGATTTGTAAAACAGAGCTACACATGACACACATTTAGGGTCTGTTTTCCCGCACATAGATTAAGCCTACTCGGCTAGAAAGCATGCTCTATGGAGAATCTCTATTGAAAGTGCCTTTTATTCCGGGACTAGGCTTCATCTGTATCCATGAAACTGGCCCAAACTCTAGTCTGAGTGCAGGTCTGTTTGTGCTATCATGCCAACTCCTTGTCACTCATTGTCATGCCATGTTTGGCTTGACAATGACAGCAATGTAGTTGGTAAGAGCATAAACAGATCCTGGACCAGGTCACCCATACTGTAGGACAGGGTTCCCCAACTGGCAGCCCATGTGGAATTTTTATTGTTGGATATAAAAGACTCTAAAACACCAGGAGATCCGCTCCAAGTGATTTTATACTGAACAAAAATATAAATGCAACATGTAAAGAGTTGGTCCCATGTTTCATGAGCTGAAATAAAAGATCCCATACGCAGAAAAAGCGTATTTCTCTCCAATTTTGTGCACAAATTTGTTTACATTCATGTTAGTGAGCATTTCTCCTTTGCCAAGAAAATCCATCCACCTGACAGGTGTGGCATATCAAGAAGCTGAGTAAACAGCATGATCATTACACAGGTGCACCTTGTGCTGGGGACAACACATTTGCAGTTTTGTCACACAACACAATGCCACAGATGTGCAATTGGCATGCTGACTGCAGGAATGTCCACCAGGGCTGTTGCCAGATAATTTGTTGTTAATTTCTCTACCATAAGCTCCCTCCAATGTCGTTTGAGAGAATTTAACAGTACAGCATCACAACCGTAGACCACATGTAACCACGCCGGCCCAGGACCTCCACATTCAGCATCTTTACCTGAGGGATCGTCTGAGACCAGCCACCCAGACAGCTGATGAAACTGAGGAGTGTTTCTGTCTGTAATAAAGCCCTTTTGTAGGGAAAAACGAATTCTGAATTGCTGGGCCTGGCTCCCAAGTGGGTGGGCCTATGCTCTCCCAGGTGCCCCTGCCCAGTCATGTGAAATCCATATATTAGGGCCTAAGGAATTTATTTCAATTGACTGATTTCCTTATATGAAATGTAACTCAGTAAAATCGTTGAAATTGTTGCATGTTGTGTTTGTATTTTTGTTCAGTATAATTCAAGAAATCTCTTCCCAAGTATTCCCTCCCATAATAGAGAGACACGTGATCGCATACAAATGTAAGCAAGGTTTGAAATTATTATGTTTTAGTCAAACATTATATATGTTCGGGCTTCTTGCGGTCAATTTGCAGTCTACAAATTATTTGCAACTATGTTCCCTGACCATCCGCTCCAGAAATAATAGGCCCGTGGCTGAATCTAGTTGATGATCCCTGCTGTAGGATCAATGACCAACTAACAATAGTGTTTCAGGAATTTCAGGAATTACCCTGTGATTGACAATGATGGGGTAATAGGGGGGAGGGAGTAAGATAATGTCTCACCTGATGACGGGGGCGCCCCACAATAGAGGGGAACACTGCCCTGGGGGCATCGTCACCGGCGAAGCCAGCCTTCACCAGTCCTGAGCCGTTGTCGCATACCAAGGCTGTTGTCTCTTCCTCGTCACACATGGTTGAGTCCGGTTACTGTGGGCCTACACACACACACACACACACAATGCACCAGTTGTCACCAATAAGTCAAGTGTGTCAGAGCGCAATGTGTTTCACACATGGCATATGGCATATGGTTGTAAGAAAATTAAGTGTTACTGCATTAACAGTAGCTGCCATTCACACTGTGAGCCTATTCTGTAGCACTGTCTTTCTATTCTGTTCTGGTTGTTTGTTCTTAAATGCCATGCTAGCTCCATAACTCACTTTTTGTTTGACTGACAAATGAATTGACTGACTTACTGTTTGTAATTGTAATGCACACAACAGAGGACAGTTCTACATTTTGATTGCTTTAAGTGCTTAAAAGTATTCCTGTGGTGGTCCTAATTCCAAACTCTAAAGCACAATAGCAGTTTTTAAGAATCTTAAAGCAGGGATCTGTATTGCATTTTGTATCAACTTTTTATTATGTATAATCACAAATTAAAAGCAACATAAAAATGAATTTGCTATTTAGTCTTAGTTTATCTGTAAGAAATGTTACTTCATTCATCGCTCTTTTTTCTCTTGTCCACTCAGGTCTGTTAAATACTGTATGTATGTTATAGTTGAATATACTGTATCTTACATATACATTGGAATGTATGGAAATATAATGATAAATGCACTGATTGGAAGTCGCTCTGGATAAGAGAAGAGCATCTTCTAAATGACTAAAATGGTAATGTATTATTGAATGATCAATTATTATGATAATAACATAGTCCCATTGTAACAGGTTAATGAGAATTGCATGTGTGCAGGAGAGTGACTTACCCTGGAGAGCTGGACAGGAGGCAGTGTGTTACAGTCCCTTGAGAGAGAGAGAGAGGAGAGTGCGCCTGGCTCACCTGCTCTCTGAATTTAAATAGGAGTACACAGGACCCATGCCATCACATACCTTCAAGACCTCGGGCCTTTTTAGGAGACATTGTGACCCTTCCAAACCAATGCGGAACTGAAAGGTAGAGTTGCCCTGTCCCACTATGGTTGTCACACACATGCGCACGCATACACACTCAAGAGTCTCATTTGGCCTCTGATAATTTATGGCTGGGTGGCAGCAGCGTGGTCTATTGTTGGAAAACTGGAAGACAGGTTAATGGTGCGTTCGCAGAGAAAGGCATGTTGGAGGTCACTATAAATAAAGACTGGTGCATCAGCCATAATGGAGATATGGCCCTTCGTCTATCTGACTGACGTTCAGACACAGTGTTACAGCCAACCAACCAGGGCATACCATGAAAGATGACAACCGAAGCCTCTACGGACCCCAGCAGGCCTTCAAAGGAAGTTTCAGAGCCTCACCCTGAATGGGAGTGGACAATAGTCATATAAAGACAAGACTGTTTTCACCAATAGAAATGTAGGACAGTCTTCACCAAACCAAAAAGTAATCTCTAGTCTGGTCAGTGTTCAATAACCAGAGGATGTCCCTCAGGGTTGGGATGATTCCATTTCAGTTAAGTTTATTGAATTCAGTCAAGTCAATGAGGGAATTTCAGTTTACTTCCAGAGTTGACTAAATTGAAATGGAATTGACCCCAATCCTGATGTTCATACAGTAAAACTATTGTCCTCATGGCCTGTCAATTTAGTAAGTCTTTACACAGTGGTACAGCACAGCAGACTGGCCTCACTGACCACAGTGTAACTTGATTTCCCAGTCCCATTGATAACCACAGACCTGAGGAAGTGGTTCAGAAGGGGATGACCAAAAAAGGAAGTGATGGTTTGAATGGTGTTGATAGGAGGGGAGTCCACAGCGCTTCTATTAAATGGTGTGGTTTGTAGAAACATCCCCCAGGTGCCCCCCAGTGGCCATTCAATTACTGACAAGACAATATTCAGATCAGATTCTCTATTGCCAGACTCATGGCACAGTGATCCACCCACAGAGACATGGAGGCTGTGGATAAATACTATTCAGATGAAGTAATAGGAGGAAGTTTAAGGAACAGGTTTAAGTATTGGTGTCTTTGGCCTGGTTTGCTAACTACCTCTCTCAAAGAGTGCAGTGTATAAAGTCAGAACATCTGCTGTCTCAGCCACTGCCTGTCACCAAGGGAGTACCCCAAGGCTCGATCCTAGGCCCCACGCTCTTCTCAATTTACATCAACATATTTCAGGCAGTAGGAAGCTCTGTCATCCATTTATATGCAGATGATACAGTCTTATATACAGCTGGCCCCTCCCTGGATTTTGTGTTAAACGCTCTACAACAAAGCTTTCTTAGTGTCTTACAAGCTTTCTCTGCCCTTAACCTTATTCTGAACACCTCCAAAACAAAGGTCATGTGGTTTGGTAAGAAGAATGCCCCTCTCCCCACCGGTGTGATTACTACCTCTGAGGGTTTAGAGCTTGAGGTAGTCACCTCATACAAGTACTTGGGAGTATGGCTAGACAGTACACTGTCCTTCTCTCAAACTAACCCTGATTCAGATGACCATCCTACCCATGCTAGATTACGGAGACGTAATTTATAGATCGTTAGTATAGTTTTATTTTTTATCCCAGCCCCCGTCCCCGCATGAGGCCTTTTGCCTTTTGTTAGGCCGTCATTGTAAATAAGAATTTGTTTTTATCTGACTTGCCTAGTTAAATAAAGGTTAAATAAAATAAAAAAAGTATAAATAGGTTATTGAAGGATAGGTATAAGTCAAGCACATTGAGTCACACACACTAATCAGTTGTCATAAAATGAGATTGCATTTAGGATAGTAAGGTCATGTTATTTTAGAATGTGATCCAGCCAAGGTAATTACACATTAGGTTTACTTGTATCAGTGTTTTTGGCAGCCAGGTGTGGCGGAGGAGAGGAGGTTATGTGAGCTTATGGAGCATTGGGCTACTGCCGATCTTTTAACTCTGTCCATGGCTAATCTTATAGCCTCATCTACTGCCTTTCTGTAGTTTACTTTACATTACTGGCCTGTTTTTACTGTACAGCTGGCACCAAATCAACTGGATAAACATCAACTCCAGTCACTGCTACACCAGCCAGTGCCGTGTCCAGAAAATGTTGAATGGGGTGGCCAAGGTGGGGCACTGACCCACTTTAGTTTAAGGGGGGCCATAATATTCTTAACTTTAAGTGGATTTTTACAGGACCTCCTAAAGACATGGAATTTAATTGTAAAAATGTATTACTTTTTAATGTGTGGTGAACACAACTAGTCATGATGTTTTCATCTAATCGTCAAACAAATCAGTTCAAAAAGTAAGTTTGTCTACTCAAAAATAAGTCCAGCATCCGAACAGTGCATTGTACACCCGCCATTTGAATGGAAAGGGACATCTATTACAAACACCAAAGTGTAATGACATTCAGTCTACAAAGTGGTGTGTATTCATGGTTATTAGTCTGCACCTCTACACTAAGTGATGTTCTCTGGGTGTGCGCCAGCTCATGCTTTTATTAGACTCCTCATGGATGCCTAACAATGAAAAAATAAACAAAGCGAGCGAGGCAAACAGCGCCCCTCTGTCTAAGTATCTATAGCCCATGTATCTGATGCTGTCTGGCCAAAAAGAATATGACATGTCATACTCATTTCATCAAGACAGCATCAGAAACATGGGCTACACATACTAAGACAGAAGGGAGCTGTTTCCTCGCTCGGATGCTTTCTCCGGTAAGATTGATGAGTCTTGTTGTCGGCGTGCCTTGGTAAAAATTATCAATATATTCAGAGACGACCTATCAGTTTCTCTGAATTTCTGGGGGGGGCCACTGGGGTGGCCAATCAGATTTCAGGGGGTGCCACCCCCTGGACACACCATAGACACCAGCAGCCCAACAGCGGTCTGCCATGCTACCAGGAGAATGTGCACCAGATACACACACAGACTGCAGAGTCACACAGAGATGCTCTGATTCTGAGAACCACTTTAAACACACAGAGACAGAGAACGAGGCAGACGCAGACACAGCGTTATGATTACACAAAATGGGAGGGAAAAAGGTTTTGCATTGTCTTCCTTACAGAAGTTCAAACATTAGATTAGACCATTCGATTTTGACCTGGAGGTTGTTAGCCTCGTAAAACAGACTGACCTCTGCGCTCACCATTGTTTTACTTCAGGCTTGAAGTGGGCTTAATCCTAGTAAAAATGCCCTGTTTTAGGTCTGTTAGGATCACCACTTTATTTTAAGAATGTGAAATGTCAGAATAATAGTAGAGAGAATTATTTATTTCAGCTTTTATTTATTTCATCACATTCCCAGTGGGTCAGAAGTTTACATACACTCAATTAGTATTTGGTAGCATTGCCTTTAAATTGTTAAACTTGGGTCAAATGTTTTGGGTAGCCTTCCACAAGCTTCCCACAATAAGTTGTGTGAATTTTGTCCCATTCCTCCTGACAGAGCTGGTGTAACTGAGTCAGGTTTGTAGGCCTCCTTGCTCGCACACACTTTTTCAGTTCTGCCCACACATTTTCTATAGGGTTGAGGTCAGGGCTTTGTGATGGCCACTCCAATACCTTGACTTTGTTGTCCTTAAGCCATTGTGCCACAACTTTGGAAGTGTGCTTGGGGTCATTTGTGACCAAGCTTTAACTTCCTGACTGATGTCTTGAGAGGTTGCTTCAATATATCCACACAATCTTCCTTCCTCATGATGCCGTCTATTTTGTGAAGTGCACCAGTCCCTCCTGCAGCAAAGCACCCCCACAGCATGATGCTGCCACCCCCGTGCTTCATGGTTGGGATGGTATTCTTCTGCTTGCAAGTGTCCCCTTTTTTCTCCAAACATAACAATGGTCATTATGGCCAAACAGTTTTATTTTTGTTTCATCAGACCAGAGGACATTTTCCAAAAAGTACGATCTTTGTCCCCATGTGCAGTTGCAAACCGTAGTCTGGCTTTTTTATGGTGGTTTTGGAGCAGTGGCTTCTTCCTTGCTGAGTGGCATTTCAGGTTATGTCGATATAGGACTTGTTTTACATGTGGAAGGAGGCCTACAAACCTGAC